CGTTTTTTCCATCATTTTTATACTGTCACTTTATGACAAATTTGTATTACTTTCGTTGAATTTTGTCTTCTGCATCTTTTTGTATTAAATTTCATTACCAATTTCCTTTTTGTTTTTATTTTTTTTCTTTGTTCATTTCCTTTCTTATTGCTTATTAGAAGATAAAACATTTGCAAATATAATTAAAATCAAAAAAGAAAAAGAAATTCCAATTAATGTAATTAATGATTATCCAATTAATGATTCCTGAATGTAAACAATATCAATAATATTAACAATTTTAAAAATTTGATCGAAATTTTCTGAACATTTGACACTAAAAAAAAAACGATATATTCGTGGAATTTCGAATAATTAAAATGTCAATTTGAGAGGATACAGGTTACCTTTAAGCATTATTTAAGTACCATTAGCAATAAAGGTTACCTTTGAGCATTATTTAAGTACCATTAGCAGTAAAAGTTACTTTTGAGCATTATTCAAGTACCATTAGCAATAAAGGTTACCTTTGAGCATTATTCAAGTACCATTTAGCAGCAATAAAAGTTACCTTTGAGCATTATTTAATTATCATTAACAATAATATAAATATGTTGTCATAGATTAAATTAAGTAAACAGTTCAAATTTGATTGTCTATCGAGAGGTGTTGCCTGTAGAATATTGATTCAGGTATATTCTTTAACAGAACATAGACCAGTTTAAATTTAATTTGTTTACTTAATTCATTCAATTGATAGCAAAGTATGATCAAAAAGGTAATTGAATTGGAGAAATGATTGTCATGTAATATCATTGATATGTCTGTCACATTTTACCCTTCCCATTTCATTCCATAATTTAATTATAATTTTTAACATTTAAATGAAAAGATAACTTCTTCTCATCTATATGAATTTATTATTGTAAATGTGTTTACTATTTGATTATCATGCAAATTATCAATTAGAAATTTTAACGTAAAATAAAAAATCCAATTTATTAGGTTATTAATTGAAAAGTTATTACTTTTCACATATATTACTCTTTTCTTAACTTTATCAATTGATAAGAAAATTTTTCAATTAGACTGTCATCTGCCTATAATGATAATTGATGATAATTAGCTCATTAATGAAATAATTGGCTAACATGTATTTCCTTTTCTGCTTAACTTAACTGGTTTAAATTCTAATCTAGGTTGTTATCATATTTCTTTCTCATAATCATAGCTATCATATTTACCAAGGGTAAGAAATTACTATAAATTACTGCAATTGTAATTTTACAAATCAAGCAGATGACATCAATCAACGCTTGTAACGTTTGAACATTTCTTCTTCATATGTGACACTATCATCAAAAAAAAAAAAAAAAATGAATGATTCATTGAATACTTGAAATAGTATATTCGATATTTCATTTAATCGATCGAACAAATGAACGTGAAATTTAACGGAAGAAATGATATTTTCATATTGCTAATTTCATATTTTTTTAATTTCAAAGTTAATCGATTTTTATTTCCCTTCGAGAGGGAATTAATTACATTTAATGAATATGAAATTCATAAATATTTCATAAGAATATATAATTTTATTTTATGAACAAATACAAATAAAGATAGGATATATATAAGGATTGTGGTAAATAATTTATTAATTGAATTGATTAGCCATGTGATTTTTGATCTTTTAATGCTAAAAATAGATTAAGATTTGTTAACTACAGGTAAAAAAAAAAAAAAGTGAGAATTTTGACGTAAACGTGTTACAATGAGTGGTATTCATTTTTTTTTTTAACTTTTCAAAAAAAAAAACAAAAAAAAACTTTGATAATTTTAGAGTTAATGGGAACCGAAGTTATATGGGATACATATGGCTTAAATCAGGTTAGTTTTAATAAATTAAAATAAATAAGACGATATGTTCAATTTAAATTTTAATATTTACATTTGACAAATTGAAAAAAAAAAGATGGAAAAATTCAATTACTGATATTTACAAATAAATTTTATAAATTTAAAAATTTTTTTAAAAACAGTAATTTGAAAAATTGGAAAGGAATTACATAATAATTTAAACAAAATTTAATTTTAATTTTAATGTAAAATTCTAAGTTTCAAAAAAAAAACATTTTAATGTCAAAATTTTATTGATTTAAAAAATTTCAAAAAAAAATAAATTTTTTTATGAAATTTTTTTTCAAAGCATTAATAATTTAAAGAATGAAAATTTTAATTTATCATTTTAAGGATGAATATGATCGAAAGTTTCAGTACAGGTCAAAATCAGCAATAAAACATCGGTTGAAGTAATACTTACATCCTGTTTCAATAACTGATACACGTATATACATATATATATGTTCCTGGTATCGCTCATATTCTTTCAGTATAAATGAGAAAGAGAAAGGGAGAAAGGGAGGGAAAAAGAAAGGGAAAGAGAAAGAGAAAGAGAGAGAGAGAGAGCGGAAAGAGGGAGAAACTCTCATATCAAATACATTTAGGAGAAACTCTCATATCAAACATATTTAGGAGAAAGGTTAACTTTCTAACCTAAAAAAAAAAAGAGAAAAAAGTTTTACTTGAAAGCCTTACAATTGATATCCCAATTATCAGGCGAGAGAGAGGGAGTGAGAAAGAGAGAGAAGAGAGAGCGGAAAGAGGGAGAAACTCTCATATCGGATACATTGACCTTTCTCCTAAGAAAAAAAAGTTTTACTTGAAAGGCTTGCAATTGATATCCCAATTATCAGGCTTTTAGCATTTGTTTTCCAGAATATTCCAAATAAATTTATCGGATATAAGAATTAATCTTAGCAAATTTATTGCAAAGCGCAAAATATATTCAGTAAGCTTACTGTATATTTTACATTTTAGTATGCTTATCCTAATCATATCTGATAATGTTATCGTAACGTTTGTTTTTTTTTTTTTAACGTAATATTGCAAGTCATGCACATTTTTCATGCATTTGCATGCAGAATATTTTGCAGTGTTAATATTTCAATCCATTGATAATATACTTTTAATGCATACATGCAAATGGAATTGTTGATAATTCATGCTGCAATATCAAAAATGCAAATGCATGATGAAATTATAGCAAGTATGCATGTTATGTAACCTGTAGAATAGGTTATTTTGCAATTTGTTGCAAAATAACCTAACCTACATTATCATTTTTACCTTCCGTTTTTTTTTCAAATAATTTTTAGGAAAAAAGCGCATGGATTATTAACATTATGGTTAAATCCGGTTAATTTATGGCATTGGTTTACGGAATTCATACCAATTTTACAATGGTTACCAAAATATCAATGGAAAACTGATATGCATCATGATATTGTTGGTGGTTTAACAATTGGTGTTATGCATATACCACAAGGTTTATCACACTTCTTTTTTTTTTTTATTAAATTAAAATTTAAAATTTTAACAATTTTTTAGCAATTCATTAAATGTAAGTTTCTTTCTTTTGTTAAAGGCAATTCATTCAATAACATTTGCTAACATCGGGAATTCATCCGATGAATTCTTCCGATAATATACCAAATCAATAACATCTGCTAACATCGG